CTGAAAATAGTGGCTGCGGTGTTTTGGTAAATAATATCACTGTAATCGAGAACAGGAAGAATCAATTGTGAATTTTTTTTTTTCACAGGAAAACTGAAGCAGTGAATGGATTGGTATAGTAATTTTAAGCGATATGAGATTTTGTGGGCGTTAAATGATACTTGCAGTGACAGGGAAAGTGTCACGTCACATCTAGATATATTCATCGTTGTTCAATTGAACAGACACTATACAAAGCTGAACTAACCGTTCACATCGCTCTGTTGACTGGCATCCATGCTGTCAGTACTTGAAGATTCATCTGATGTACTGCTGTCATAATCAACCAAAGAACCGTAACCACCTCTGGTCACCTTTTAAAAAAAGAAGGAATATCACACACACACAAATCTTTCAGTGTTTTTTTATTCAGCTCATTTCAAAGAATTTTACAAGCTTGGTGCTTACCTCCATTGTGTATGTCTGTGTCCTCCAGTCACCGCACACTGGCACAGGGTTACTGAAACAGCCTCTCACTGAAAACAAAAGTGAAAGAGTTTTATCCCCTACAACTTATAATTTTTTTTCACAAGTTTAAAGTACCTGTAAGCCTTTTTAGCCAGATTAATTTCATGCTGACTGGGTTTCCTTCCTCTTTTGTTTGTTTTTGACCCTGCATTTCAAAGTCTTTGCAGTGCTCCACCCTCCAACTATACACACCCACACACACACACACACACACACACACACACACACAAACCCTTCTCCTTACCCATAACAGCACCACATAACTGTGCACGCAGTGATACAACCTACTACAAATATTATGGGACTGCTAGTTTAATTTTAAGTGAGACTAAATTAGTGACAAACAATACAGAGAATATCAATACAATTTATGAGCATTTTCTGACTTAAAAACTCGCCATAGTAATAAAAAACACCTAATATGCTAAGTTTAAGTCTAGATTTTAACATTAAACCTGCACAGGGATTAAAAGTAAATAGACTGCAAATACATTATATTAAATATTAAAGAATATATGAATTTAACATATAATTATAAAATAGGGTTCAGATAGCTAGTTTAAACAGTGCTGACTTTTGGAGAGTACGTACAGTTTAAGCAGTTTGGCAAGATTTTAATGTTGCTGGTTTCGCTTGAGGAATCAACTCGACCACACCCTGAATGAAACTATCGATAATGGTTTCAGTTTATGGAAACCCAAGATATTTCCTAAAGCCTATTCCTGCCACACGTCAGAATGCGATAATCCCTGTCCTATGATGGTATGAGTTTAAACTGTTACTTTTAACTGTACAGGTTCTCATTATAACATTTAATTCGTCATGTACTGCTTCGTTGCCCCATCAAATTTACATTCAATCACCACACAGTGTTCAGAAATCTCACCTTTGCAGGATAGATGAACACATGGCAGACTTGAGGATAGACCCTGCTGCACACACCAGCCGAAAGCTCAAACTTCTTCTTAGTGCTTCCACTGCACTCCCAGTTTTATTGTGTTCGCTGAACACTTACACTTTTGGTTCAAGGGGAAAGTACCTTATAGTTCATAGATCACATGGTTTCTTGGAAATGAGAATGAGTTCACAGAACTGAGTGAAAACGAAACCATATTGAAGACAGACAGTTTACATTTTCTCTCATCCTCTGTGGCAGAAGAAAGAAATGTAGTTTCAAACAGCCTATAGAAGAGGTTACTGTTTCATATTTAAAGGTGAGGAGAGGAGCTGATTTGATTGGTGAAAAATGGACTCTGCTGTGTTAAACCCACTCCCCACCTTCCACCTCCCTCTTTCCGATTTGCACTGCTTCGAGGGGCTGAGATGAGAAGGGGGTGTACTTGCACCTGTCCGTGCTGCCTACCAAATTAACAAAGTATGCTTGGGCATGCCCCATCAGCTCAGTGGACCTGACTTGTGCCGCGTCTGCACAGCACTGCCAGCAAGGCACGAAATTAGAGCCCAGATGTTGTTATTTGTGGTTTTCCTTTTCACTTTATCTCTCCCTTTTATCACCCTGCATGTCACTTGCATTTTTTCTCTCTCTACACTGTAAAATGTACTTTGTTGACTTTACTTGAAAGAAAAAAACTCAGGAAACCAATTGCCTCAATTTATTACGTCATTAAGAGTAGATAAAGCTGAAAAGAACTGTGTTTAGACAACTCATGTCATGGCAGTTACACTGAGTGTAGTTACCGCAAGGTCATTAAGTAAGTAGATTATAAAATGTAAGTTCAGATAACTTAAAGATCTGAGTTATGTTCAGAAATTTAAGTCAGCTTTACTCATCAAGATTCAAACAAAAAAAGTTAATGAAATATTTCACTTTTGTGGTGGATTTTATACGTTAAACTTCAAGTTTTGGGAAAAATTTACTGTTTAGGACATTTTAATCTTTTGAGCTGTACCTGTATATCTGTAAATTTGTCCATCCAGAGAGAGAGCATAGTCCATATGAGGCTTTTGTGTTCACTTCTGTGGATCAGGAGGCAGTGGGAGGTTGAAACCTAGACACATCATGTCCTCAGTCCCACTACCACAGACGAGACCAGGAACAAGGTTATTCATTTTGTAGGATCTTCTTCATCACTGTTGCATTTTCTGGCACTGAAGGGCACCTTTGTGAAGGATCGAGATGAACTCATGACAGCTTTTCATAATGGTGTCTGTGTCTAATGAACTGTCACCTTTACACTACACAAACACTGCAGCAGTTAAGAGCTCAAACAAAAACCATTATAGGCCTGCAGTCTACTGTAGTTAGGATGAGAAGGACTAACAGCTAAACTCTAGTCAAGGCCTGGAAGCTGTTCATTTCAGAAAGCAGTGACTTCAGAAGAAAACAACATTAGATACTGGAATCATTTTCAAGGGTAAAAAACTTGAAGTTAATTTTTGTCTCCAGTCGTCTTGACTATTGTGACGCCCTGCTTTCTGGTCTTCCAAAAAGAAACATCTCAAGTTTACAGCTGTTGCAAAACTTAGAAGACCAGAAGGCGGGCACATATTACACCGGTTTTAAAATCACAACAGTGGCTCCCTGTGTGCTTTAGGATCAATTTTAAGGTCCTTTTAATGATTTTTAAATGTCTCAGGGGTCTTGGACCTAATTATGTTTCAGAATTGCTCTTACAATGTGAACCCTCGTGGACCCTGAGATCCTCTGGCACTGGCCTTTTAAAAGTCCCCAAAGTGAGAACATGAATTTACGGTGAGGCATCTTTTCAGTACCATGGTCCCCTTCGTTGAAATAGCCTGCCGGAGGACCTTAGGGCTGCAGAGAATGTTCATATTTTTAAAAGCAGGCTCAAGACCCACCTATTTGATTTGGATTTTAACAAATGTCTTATTTTTAATCTATATTTTTATCCTATTTTTATCTTATTTTATTTCACTTATATATTTTAGTCCTCATTTTACTTTGTGTTTATTCTATTTATTTACTTATTTTTAAATGGTATTTTAGCTATTTATCAGTATTTTTTAATTTAATCTAGTTTGATGTTCTTACCCAAAGTAGTTTTATGTTTTTATGTTTTGTTTCGGTTTCTCCAGTGTTTACTCAGTGGGGGCCACCTCCACTGGAGGCTGTGACTGGCTCTGTCTGGGACTTCTCTGCCTCGTGGTGTGCACTCAGCTTGGCCATGTGGTGGTCTGCAGCAGTGCTTGCTGCTCTGGGACCCTTACTGGCCTGTAGCAGGGTGTATACCTGGATGGAGGTGTCCCGGCCCTGAGCCAGTACGGTCAGCCTCCTGATGGTTCCTGACCTAGCTCCTCTGTACTCAGCCACATGCTTTTAAGATTGCGTTAACTCTGTGTGTGTGTGTGTGTGTGTGTGTTTGTGTGTGTGTGTGTGTGTGTGTGTGTGTCTGTGTGTGTGTGCTGCATTTTTTTGCATGAAAAGTGCTATATAAATAAAGTTTTGGTTTGATTTGATTTTATAATTAAGTGGTGACTTTCCTATCTACTAAAAAAGTCATGTTATACTTCAGTGTGATGCTGATCTTAAAAAAACAAAACAAACAAAAAAACAAGACATTTAGTCACTACACTAATAAATTTATTCAGTCGGTTTACAGGTATGGATTGTGAACACATTTTTGTGAGAAAAATATCTTGTTTTTTTTCAAACATTTGCATGCAACACAAGAAAGTAAACTGAAATCAAACTAACAAACAAAACCAATGAGAATATTCAAAACAACAATCGTAATAATCAAAGCGAAAAAAAACCAAGTAATAATAATAATGTGAACCCAACATGTCCGAAAAGAAGTAGGATAAAGCATTGCGCTTATTTTTCTTTTGTCAACAACAAAAAAAATACAGCCAGGAAAAAGAAACTTCACTGGAACAAGAGACAAAACAAGGTTCTTAATTCTAACTTATAGGACTAAATGCCAGATAATTATGCAAAAGAAAAAGCACAGCCAGTAAGCCTTAACTGAATAATAACATTTTTTATTCAGATTTCATTCTGTTATATTTGCATCAAAGTCAACTGCACAAAATTAAAATTGTCAACAAAACGATCAATACAACTGTTGTGACTCATGTCACACGTTATTTAGATCAAATAAACACTGTAAATATGAGAGTAAATGCTCTGCATCTAAAACTCAACATACAAATACAAACGCAAAACTCTTTAAACTCAAATGCACATGGAATCAATTTAAAACCCTTCACTAAAATCAAAAAGACCTCAAAAATATTCCTCATTGAAAAAAAAACAAACTGGGTTAACTTTCTTTTGTTGTGCAGAATCAACAAATTAACAGTAATTCTGAGTTTTTTCTTTATTTCCATGAGCCCTTGTTGTAAAGTATCTTCTGTGCTAATAAAATCTTCAGCTTTGTCATCTTATTCAGTATGAAACTTATTCTGATGTCTTCCTGTCACACTCAAAAAACTAAACTCAAATGATCCATAAAAGGAGAAGGCGAACTTCTGTGTGCTTCAGGTTAGTGAGGGGAAATCTAGTTAGGGTTTTATTTGACTCTGAATGACTCTTTCAGACATTCTTCTGCCTGCTGCTTTGTGATTTTTTTCCATGTATCAGGAATTTCAGCAGGCTCTGCATTAGATTCTTCAGCAAACTTGTGGTTAAATCTGTTGAGAACATATTTCCAATAGTCTGTACTCTCAAGGCTTGTGTCTGGTTGAATTCGCCACTCAGGGTAGATTTCAGTGTACTCTTTGTAGGGGTGGTATTCACCTTTTGTGGCATCACAGCGGAATGAACAGTTACTGCTCACCAAGGAGGTGCATATGTCAACAACAAGTTTTTTTGTGCCCTCCCATCTGGTACTGCCCAGACCCACTGGTCGATGAAGTGAAGTGAAGTGCTGTGTATGCACCGTGGCCCCAGCCTCACAGGGTACTTTGCAGAATGGACACTGTTTACCACATCCAACAAGTTTTTTGAAAAGCTCATCCTGAGGCTTTACATCAAGTTTTGCAAGCTTTGTTCTGATGGGTGTCTTTTTAAACTGCTTTCCAAGCACATCTGTCAAGTCTTTCACACACTCAGTGAGCTGGTGAGCGAACTGTTCGAGGTTGACTTTGTTCAGGACCATGAAAGGACTGACAGAATCCTCAGTAATGACCAGTGTATCAACAAGTTCTTCACGGAAGTCTTGAATGAATTTCTCCAGGTTACCACCTTCCTTTGCCTGAGCTTTGTGCGCTGCATCAGTTATGCTCTTGATACTTGACCTGAGATGTTGCTCCTCAAACTTTGACACAGACTCATTGGTCAAGAGCTTTTCCATTTCATCAAGGATCCATTTCTTCACATACTTCTCATGTGAGCAGTCGTAGCTCAGGTAGTCCTCAAAGTTCTCCCTTTTAAGTAAATCCAGTAAGACTGAATACTGGAAGAACATTCGTGTGCTGAACTGGGACTTCCCCATCATGACGCCAATGATATCCAAACCCAGGGAGCTGTTGACAAATTTTTCCACAGCAGGCATTAAGCAGTGGTCGGTGAATCCTTTTGCTTTTTTCTGGCAGAGGTCTAGCTCATTAAACTCATCCTTGAAATTTTCCCTGAACCTCTCTTTGTTTTGGTTGAGACATCTGTGGGGGTCGTTCATCTGTATGAAATCTTGATGCATTTTCTGAAAACACCTGGCTGCGTTTGCACAGATGTGCTGTTTCAGAGAAACCTCAAAATCTCTCTCTATCTGAATATCCTGGTTGTTTTCCAGCTTCTCATCAATCATGCGTAGGATCTGCTGAATGAAGGTGTCATGGTAGTCGGTCTTTCTCTCCACTTTTTCTTTCACAAATTGTGTGCAATCCTCAATGATCTGCTCAGCCAGTTTTTGTAGTGCCTCAACCTGATCCTCAATCCTAAACCAGTCGCAGAATTTGTGCTTCAGCTGTTTGTATTTTCCCTCAACTGTATATTTGAAGGGCATATTCCCACAATCTTCCAGTTTCTTTTTTTCCAACAATTCACACACATGACTCCCCTTCCATGTTAGATTGTCTCTCAGAACACCCTTTACACTTGCCCAGACATCTGTGGGCTCTTGTTTGCAAAGGTCTATTTCCCTCACCATTTCATCCCACATCTTGTTGAATTCTTTGTCCAAGTCTGTGTCTGTCATGTTGTCTTTTTTCTTACGGCATTCTTCAATCAATGCAAGCACTCTCTCTTTCACCTTTTTTGTGTGGTTCATCTTGATTTTGTCAACTTTTATCATTCCCTTTCTGATGTCTGTTGCCACTGTGAGCTGGTTTTTTACAGACCTTTCCATTTCTCGACGAAGGCTCTTTGCACTGTTGGCAAACTCTTCTCTGTATGCTTCCACAAGATCGACGTGACCCTCTTTTTTCTTGAAGTACTCTTCCAGATTGTCAAGAAGCTTTTTCTCCCACTTAGACAGCTCTGAGGATGCTTCGCTTTTCAAACGTGTGAGAAGTTGACCAAAGCTAGACCCCTCAGATTTCCCACTGCCTGTGTTAGAGATTTTAGTTTCTGCCTTTTTTGTCCATGAGTACATTTCCTTTTTGAATTCCCATTCCCACTTGTTGAATTCTGTGCAGAGCTTCATGTATGCATCAGCCACCAGGCTGTTTCTGAAGCTGAAGATGAAGTTTTCATGCTTGACAGCTGACCACAAGTCTTTTATCGACTCTGCAAACTCTGAGATCTTATTAACAGAAGTCTTACAGTCTCCCAACATTTTAAGGACGCTCTTCTTGAGCTCATAAACAGCCACGCTGTACCCTGCATTTACTGGTGCCATTGGTGGACTTCCGTTCCAGAGTCCTGGGATGTACACACTCCCAGTGTCTGGACTGTATTCAATCAGATCAGTGAAGCTCTTGTACTCCTCTTTTTTCTCCATCTTGGCTGCTGCTTGCGTCATCTTATTTAAGTCCTCCAGGAGCAGTTCTCTTTCTCGTAAGTTCTTTTCAGGAGCTGATCTATCGGCTACATTCTGATGAACAAAGAGACACTTGGGTTTTTTACCCACCCCCTTCATCCTGAGGAATGCATGAACCACTATCTGTAGGATGTCCCTCATTTCTGTTGCATTCTCCATTGCAATATTGACAATAGTGATATCACTTAACCCCACCACGAGAGTCGCAAGCTCATTGTCATGTTCATAGCTGTTGTCTAGTTTTGAAAGCTCTGGTGACTTCAAGCCCTCAGTGTCAATGATGACCAAGAAGTCACAGTTCAGCTCTTTTTTCACATCGTCATTCACTTTGATGAGCAACATGAAAGCACCTCGAGTGCATCGACCGCTGCTGACTGCAAACTGAACTCCAAACATGGTGTTGAGGAGGGTAGACTTCCCTGTACTTTGAACTCCAAGAACTGTGACTACTAGTATCTTGTTAGGAGACACCAAGTCATTGAGTTCAGACAGAACATCAGTCACCCATCTGAGAGGTATGTTAGATGCATCACCATCTACAAGCTCCAGAGGAAATCCATGAAGCAACAACCCTGCACATAGTCTGGGAAGATGCTTAAACTGTTGACGCGATGGATTTGTTTCTGGAAGAGAGACTGAAGCTTCATAGATCTGACCCATTTCACGGAAGAAGTGTTCAATCCCAAGAGAGCTGTTGGAAAGTTGTCTGTCAATCTTTTTGATTTCCTTTTTGTTTTTAGGACTCTTTTTTTTTTTTTTGTAAGTTTCTCTGAGTCCAGATAGTTTCTGTCGAGATAGATTATCAAGATTCATTCGCATCCATTTCAGGAAGTAACACATTTCAGTATCTGAACTTGAGATTGCATTGATGAAACGTGTCATTGCATCAGAAACACCATTGGAGCGCTGTTTTTCCCGGAGTTGTGCTTTCTTTTCCTGAAGTTCACTTTTGTACTCTTCTAAAGTTTCTGACTCTTTTATTTTAAGCCGACACTCTTTCTTCTCTAAGGAGGTCAGTTCCTTCCATGTTTCACCTTGCAATGGCAGCTGAGCTTTTTTGTACTTCAGGATATCTTGTATTCCTGCAGTGATTGCATCTGCATTTTTCTTTGCAGTCTGGCACTCGCCACAGTCTTCATCAACCAAGATTTCCAGTTCATGGGCAATGTCAGCCATCTGTTCAATTCCCATTTTTTCCTTTGAGTTCTCGACTACATTGCAGACTGTTTCACGCAGATTTTTAATGAAGTCAGCGTCATTTATTTGTGGAGTCTTCATTAGGACTTGGGTTTTGGTCAGTTTCAACTTTTTTACCACCTTTCCCAAAGCATCTTTTTTGATTCGCTGGCATTGATAGTTACCAACTAAGAAGATTTGTGCCTTGTGGTGCTGGTTTGTAAGCAGCTTGCACTCAGAGTCTAGATTGTCAAAGAACACAAAAACTGCTGCAGATGTCTGACACAAAAAAGCGAACTGTGTTTCAAAAGAAGTGATGTCCCCACGAAGGTTAGCTACAGCCACCGGCTCACTGAAAACATCCATGTTTTTGTTCCCACAAGGTAGGTACCAGGAAATCTCAGTCAATCCATTGGATATTTGTCTTGGGCAGTTACCATTCTCCATGTTGCGGTGAACAAAGGTATCATGGTACTGCTGGGAGTTGCTCAGAAGTTTGTTGAGGATCTCTGACTTGGACAAGGAGCACTCACCCAGTCTCACAAAAGAAACCATTGGAAGTTTAGAGACAACAATTCTGTCTTCGATGAAGCCCTTGGACTCTGACAGTGACAGAGGTGTGTAGCTTTTAACGATGTTTCTTAAGGCCCAGAGCATTAGTGTGCACTGCTTTGTGTCACAGTTAGGGAGCAGCAGAGGCACAGAGAACTGACACAAGGACATTTTGAGAGCCATTTCTTGCTGTACAAAACTATCAGAACACAGGAACAGAGCAGTGATAATGTCAAGGGGATTCAGCTTGTCACCTGAGTCCAGATTATCAAACAGTTCATCTATATCAAATTCTGTTCCATCTGTGTGAGCTGCACAGGCTGATTCAGATGTTGATGTGAATTTCACATTTCTAGCTGTCACATTAACCATCATCAGTTTCTTTAGAAAATACCATGGAAGGTCTGAATTACACTTGGTAGGTTCATCAGTGGTGGTCTTCTCATCGATCTGAAGTATTCTGCTCAGGGACAGCTTCTCTTGGTAGAAGTTCTCAAGTTTCATGTCCTTCAACAGGTTCTCCAGTTGTGTCCCTGTGGGAATAAATATTTTTATTATTTCAAATCAATCCTTGATCATTTCAGTATTTAATTCTTAAGCATACAATTTATGTTAATGTGATATGATGGCATCTGTTACCCACTTTAAATTTGCATTTTGCACCTGTTTGTAACATTTTAGTAGATTTAAAAATCTTTGTTTTAGCGATCTCTGAGCTCTGCATAATTTTTACAGCTATCGGCAGTTTACAGGTAGTCTTTAATAATAATAATAATAATAATAATAATAATAATAATAATAATAATAATAATAATAATAATAATAATGCATCAGATTTTATATAGTGCTTTATCAGAGACCCTCAAAGCGCTTTACATTGGATACATCATTCATTCACTCACACAGTCACATCTTGGTGGTTAATACAAACTCCAGTTCTAATGAACTTGGCAGGTTATGTAATAAAAAAGAATATGTCAATGAAAAATAAAACACTGATTTGCAAATCCTTTCCCACTTATATTCAATTGAATGCACTACAAAGACTAAATATTGCCCTGACCTGATGAAGCAACTAACTTTTTTTTATTATCATATTTAAAAATGTAAAAAACTAAGTGCCTCAGTTCACCTGGAACATCAATGGGTTGAGAAAAGGTGTGAAATTAAAAGTTCAAAGTCATTATAAAAATGTGTTGAGACAGATTTTCTGCAAGATCATTATTTCTGAATCATATCATTAACCAAAAATGTTTAAATACCAAATTTGAAAATACAAATTTAACTGATGGACCTTTGATGTAACTAAGCAAAAACTGATAGACCAAGTCCTAACCCCTAAAACTCTAACCTTAACCCCTAACCCCTAACCCTTATAATCTACAAAGGTTATTTATGAGGCAACCTTGTCAGTAAAGTACGAGACAAATATGTCTGGGGTCAACATAGAGGAGGGTTGTGGGTTTGAAGGAGAGAGTTTAAAATTAGAGAAGAGTTTGTGTACATGAGTGGTAGCATAGATCTTTGCATGACAAAAATGCCTTCTTGGCAGATTTTAAAGGCGAGGTAAGTGAGGTGAGTTTTTGCTGATAATCTGTCAAATCAGTGGATTGTTTACGTCACTTTTCTCACTGAGGAGGTGGTACGGGATAATGCCTGTGCGTAATGTACGAGAGAACACTGCATCACATGACAAGGCAATATACAGTTCAGTATACTGAGAATGAGAATTTAGAATTGATACTGATGGCGGTTGATGCAAGGAAAGCTTTTGATTTTTCTGAGAGGGCTCACCTATTCAAACTTGTTCATTTTTACTATATGTACTTTTATTTTTTACTGTATTTTTACTGAAAATGCTACAGCAGAATGATGGTCATGTCTGAATACACGATATCTTGTGCTGCCATGTTCACTTTCCTTTGGACTGAGCATACTTTCTGCACAGTCAGGTTTACAATCTCAGAAAATAGCGCAGCATAGCTCTTACAACCTCAAACTGAATGAATGTTAATTTCAGACATGAAATGTGTGTCTTACTCTTAATTGAATACTGCTGTCTCATCATTGCATGTTAAATCTTAGAAGCATCATATATGTTAACACTGAAAACAAATGTGTTAATAAACCACTGCTGAACAGGACTAGTGTGCTGCGTGACTACATTAGCTTCAGATGCTAGTGATAGTTAGCTTCCTCATTTTTTGTGATAAACAACATTATATACAACATGGCTTCACACATCAAGATAAACACAATAAACCTGATGATATGGCACTTTTAAAAAGTGATATTTTAGGATTTTTGAGGGTTTCTTTGAATTAGAATTCAAAGTAGCAGACATTTTACTAACATGGACCTCTACTTTCCAGCTGCTTTGACTACCTGCACTAGTCTCTCCTCTGTCCATCTCTCCCTCCTTCATCTCTCTATCAGTCTCTCCTCTGTCCATAGGTCTCTCTCTCCTCTCTAAGCCCAGTTCAGTCTCAGCAGATGACTGTCTAACATGAGTCTGGTTCTGCCCGAGGTTCTTCCTCTCCACTGTAACTTGATAAATGCTGTCAAGTGTTTCACTTATGTGGTTGAAGATGAGGATAGGAGTGGGTCTGATCATAGCTGGGACTCAATCTCATCCCGTCTGTATATTGGGTCTTTGTAAATAGTCTGTTCTAGATCATAATTTATTTGTTGAACACTTTGGAAACACTTATTTTTAACCGGTGCTGTATGAATAGAGATTGATTGACTGATCAATTGAACTTTCATACTTTTGGACAGTTCTTCGCCCAAAAATCTTTGTATGAGGAAATATCTTCTCTAAAGAAGTTTCAGTCACATATGGAGCCAGATCAGGCTCAAAAGTATTGAAAAGTAGTGTAAGTTAAAAAATAAAAAGTGAAGAGATTTGAACCTGAAAAAAATAAAATGGAACCTGAAAGTCTTGAATTTCGAAATTGAACTTTGAAAAATCACAGAATGCATGAAAAAAATCTGTTCAAATGTAACTTTGATTCTGTTTTTTAATACTTTTGAATAAATTACTCATTTATATTTTTCACTTCAATGTATATTTTAAACTTGGAGTACTTTTTTTTTCGATTGAATTTTATTTATTTATTTCAGATTCAGATCTTATTTTTACGGATTCAAAGCGGTTTTTTTTTTCGGTTTCAGATTTTTATTTTTCAGATTCAGATCTTTTTTCGGATTCAACTTGAAAAGTTTCAGGTTCACTTTTTTCACTTGAATCCGAAAAAAGATCTGAATCTGAAAAATAAAAATCTGAAACCGAACAAAAAAAACGCTTTGAATCCGTAAAAATAAGATCTGAATCTGAAATAAATAAATAAAATTCAATGGAAAAAAAAGTACTCTAAGATTGAAATATACATTGAAGTGAAAAATATAAATAATTTATTCAAAAGTGTTAAAAAGCAGAATCAAAGTTACATTTGAACAGATTTTTTTCATGCATTCTGTGATTTTTCAAAGTTCAATTTCGGAATTCAAGACTTCCAGGTTCCATTTTATTTTTTTCAGGTTCAAATCTTATTTTCTATTATTTTTTATATCTTTTTTTTTATTTTTTCACTTACACTACTTTTCAATACTTTTGAGCCTGATCTGGCTCCATAGTCACACTAGCCGTTATATGGGTGAATTCATAAATGTGAACATAGTTAGAAAATGATGATGACATGTTATCTTTGTTTATTTGTAAATATTATGAACTTATAACTAGGTTTTGTGTCACTTGAGTAGACATTTTAGCTTTTTCTACCAGTTTGTGAGCTCACTGTTTACAGTTTTAAAAGAAGTGAGCAAAACATACGTTTTTCTTTTTTTGTGTATACATTGTATATAGGTTTAGAAATTTTTAAAATCAAAATTTCAATTTTTTTGTCACACCAAGTAAATACAAAACTTTTTAGGGACTGGGGGAAATGTTAGCAATTTTCTTAGTGTAGTGCGTTACTTTACTTAGTTACCCAAAATCATCATGACTGTAATCCGTTACTTTGTAATGCCTTACCCCCAACACTGGGAGTCACACCACATTGATTTTGGTAACAAACTGGACTGTTTTTACAGATTTAAAAATATATGAATGTAAAAGTTAAGTCATTTTCTGACGGGAAAGTCTTATGCAATTATGCAGGAAGTGTGTATCAGAAAATTTGATTTTTTATATGCTGGCTTCAGTCACACCACGGAGCATGTTTGAGGTTTAGCTCAAAAAGGTAAAAAATGTAAAACACAGCAAAGATTTTAACAACAGGTACATTAAATTACCATCTGTTGTATTTAAAATGATTAATTTACCAGTTGAATCTCTTTAAACCTACGGTGACAGGGAAAGTGCCACGTCACATCTAGATATATTCACAGCTGTTCAATTCTACAGACACTATACAAAGCTGAACTAACCGTTCACATCGCTGTGTTCACTGACATCCATGCTCTCAGTTTTTGAAGATTCATCTGATGTACTGCGTTCTGGATCAGCCAATGAACCGTCACCTCCACTGGCCTCCTTAAAAAAGAAAAGAAGAAAAATGAAATAATGAATGTTATCTCTTTATCTCATACAAAAAAAAAAAATCTTGTTCATTTTTCAGTGTTTTTGTATTCAGCTCATTTCGAAGAATCTTATGAGCTTGGTGCTTACCTCCATTGTGTATGTCTGTGTCCTCAGTCACCCCACACTGGCACAGGATTACTGAAACAGCCTCTCACTGAAAACAAAAGTGAAAGAGTTTTATCCCCCACAAATTTTTATTTTTAGTTTAAAATACCTGAAAGCCTTTTTAGCCAGATTGATTTCATGCTGACTGAATTTCCTTCTACTTTTTTAAATTTTTGACCCTGAATCTCAAGGTCTTTGCAGTGCTCCACCCTCCAACCACACACACACACACACACACACACACACACACACCCTTCTCCTTACCCATAACAGCACCACATAACAGCACACACACTGATACAACCTACTACAAATATTATGGGACTACTAGTTTAAATTTAAGTGAGACTAAATTAGTGTTGGAGAAAGGGTGGTTTCCTATCACCTTAAAGATTACTCTTACGTCTAATTTCCCAAACACAATAAAAAAGGTACGGACTGATATTAATTCTCTGACTCCAATTCCTTTGTTACCTCTAACCCTTTTCCCACGTGGTCGTTGTTGGGAACAAGAGAAGAGGAGGATTCAAAAGAGTTCTCAGTTGAATCTCTTATTTTGTTAATTACACAAGTCATTAAATGTGCAACAGAGATCTCTGGGTCCAGGATTAGCTCACCCTACCAAACAGACAGCTTAGAGGTCTGAGGGCTTCACAACCAAGACTAACGTTCCCTTGAACCCTTTATAGAAGATGCTCCACCTTTCTAGACAAAGAGTTTGCTAATCTGGGTGTTGTCCTCGAGTGTAGGCTGGTTCCTTATTCCTTGAGTGGGTTCACCTCTTAATCTAATAAGGAGTTGTGTAATGCATTCTACACACATCTCTAACACACATACATTCAATCACACTATTTTGCTGTTGCTGGGCAGATAGTCAAAGCAGGCTTAAAAAAAAGCAAGTATCATAGACGGAAATAACTAACAGCCCCCTAAGTTCCATCATCCTTCTTTTTTAGGTGTTCTAACCGCAGAGCACTCTATGCACACTTCCTCTTTCATCAACTTCCTTCAAAAACAGCACACAAACATCTTTATTCAGTACAAGACGCCTTACTTACCAACTATGAAGAGAAGCCAAAGCTAAAACCTTTATACTATAGATACTGTTCTTTTCCTCTCTACAGGGTGGTCTATAGCCTCCCTGGAGCTTTTATCCTTTTTTCTGTTATCCACCAGTAAATGACTGCAATGAGCACAACACTTAATTCTTTATGCAACTCTGTCAAATTCTCTCCAAATTGACAATAAATCATAACATTAGTGACAGTTAATACAGAGAATATTGATGCAGTTCAAGGACATCATTACGGGCATTTTCTGACTTAAAAACTCACCATAGTAATAAAAAAAAAAAACGCTTAATATGCAAAATTAAAGTCTAGATTTTAACATAAAGCCTACACGGGGATGAAAAGTAAATAGACTGTATATACAATATACTAAATATAGAATATATACATATTCTAATTAAAAAATAGGGTTGAGATAGCTAGTTAAAACAGTGTGCACTTTGAAGAGTACAAACAGTTTTAGCAGTAAATTAAGATTTTAATGTCACTGGTTTCTCTTTGTGGAATCAACTCGACCACACCCTAAATGAAACTATTGATAATGATTTCAAACAAATATGGAAACCCGAGAAATTTCCTAAAGCCTATTCCTGCCACACATGTCAGACTGAGATAATCCCTGTCTGATGTTGGTTTGAGTTTAAATTGTCACTTTTAGCTCTCCAGTTTCTCATTATAATATTTAATTCATCATGTACTAGTTATTGGCCCCACTGAATTTACATTCAATCACCACACAAATAGCGTTCAGAAATCTCACCTTTGCAGAAAAGATGCACACATAGCAGACTTGAGGATAGACCCTGCTGCACACACCAGCCGAAAGCTTGAACTTCTTCTCAGTGACTCCACCGCACTCCCAGTTTTATACTGTTTGCTGAATACTTTCACTTTGGGAAAAAAAAAACAACACTTTGACACCCCACCCCACCCCACAGCGCATAGATCACATGGTTTCTTGGAAATGAGAATGGGTTCACAGAACTGAGTGAAAACGAAACCATATTGAAGACAGACAGTTTACATTTTCTCTCATCCTCTGTGGCAGGAGAAAGAAATGTTATTTTAAACAGCCTATAGAAGAGGTTACTGTTTCATATTTAAAGATGAGGAGCTCCTCTCTTCACCTGGTGACTCAAGGCGGAGTCACCAGCGTTCCTACACAGTGGACATCTTACTCCAGTATACCATTCTGGTACCCTCTATGCTAGCTGTGTTGTGGAAAATCATCATTTACTCTGCAAAACAATGCACAGGAGACAGGGTGAGATCTAAAGAGCAGCCTGGGCGTCTTTATTGTAGAAATCAGTACACATGACAAACAGAGTATTGACCAAACCAGAGGAGAGGAGCCTCCAGCTTACCTCTCACACACTGCTGCCGACTGTGTATCTGTAGCACAGTTGTGTGGCTGTAATGTGTGTTAGTGTGCGTGCGTGCGTGCGTGCATGAGTTCTGTAGGCCTGTGAGGAAGTGCACACTTTTCCTGTTTGGATATATTCGGGAAGTTGTCCCAAGACATGTCTCATTGTTCTTAAATTCACCAGTGGTTTGGAGTATTGTGTTTTCCAGGAAATACGCCCTAAGTGTTTCGACAGACTGATAAGTTTGGTGCCTGCAAAACAGCCTTGGTAATCAGCACATCTGTCAAGTCCTTCACACACTCAGTGAGCTGCTGAGTGAACTGTTCAGGGTTGACTTTGTTCAGGACCATGAAAGGACTGAGAGAATCCTCAGTAATGACCAGTGTATCAACAAGTTCTTCACGTAAGTCTTGAATGAATTTCTCCAGGTTACCACCTTGCTTCGCCTGAGCTTTGTGCACTGCATCAGTTATGCTCTTGACACTTGACCTGAGATGTTGCTCCTCAAACTTTGACACAGACTCATTGGTCAAGAGCTTTTCCATTTCATCAAGGATCCATTTCTTTACATACTTCTCATATGAGCCGACGTAGCTCAGTCATCAGAAAGTCAGAATTAAGTGAGAGCTCAAATGTTTTCCCATGGCTGTAATCCTTTTCTGTTGTTAAACCAGAACAAGTCTTTGATGATATAAAACTTCATGTTAGACTAATATTTATACCTTTCACTCTTCTCTTAAGCAGTTTGCCTTAGTGCATTTATAGCGTAGAAGTTTCATTCTAGAATGCCCACATCAACAGTACACAGTGTACTGCGTAGTCACTGTTGGAGGGTCTAAAACCCACTCCCACTCCACACTCTAAAGACTTGAACATCTCTCAGTGAGGCAGACCCTCCACAAGAGCGCACGGTCAGAGTGGAGGTGTGCAGCAAGACCCGAGCAGACAGCGTTGAAGTTGGTTTGATAAAGTCTCAAAGACTGGCTGCGGTGGGAAAATGAGGCTAATCAGGCACAGGTGAAACTAATTAACCGTGGGTGAAACAATCAGGCCAACACACTCCATCACACTGGCAGGAAAACACACAATTTACAGGGGGGAAAGTACAAGCACTGAGAGGAAAGGTCGAGCGGTGAGACGAAACAGGAATACAGGAACTGTACTGGACTCTGTTGTTGGTCACCTTTAACCCTCTCCGCTCCGTTTATATGAGGACTGCTTTTATTGGTTTTATTTCTAGATACCACTGTAGAGGCAGAACTTGTATCCGCAACTTAATATCAATACCAAGTATGTGGAGAAAACTGAAAAATATAAATGTAAAATGACTGAATTGAAAGAGATGTTGAAAGGACAGGAAATGGGAGGGCAGCGATTATAACCTTTATTCTGACATCGTCATGTTTTCACGTAGGAACCAGTTCGAGATTCTTCAAAAAGAGAACCAAATCTGCAAAATGATAACGTTTTCAACACCGATCACGATATCATCCATAAAAATCTGATGTTTTTCCTGAATCATTCGGCCCCCTTAGAAGGAGTGATTTACCCCGTCGTCATCTCTAACTACACTTCCCCTCTCTCTCTCTGTTTTCTTCTTTCCTGGAGGTTTTTATCTCCCCTCGGTGCCAATTTCAAACCACTGGAGTGTGTGCTCTAATCATCGCCTAATGATAGATAATCTGAAGAGGACTAAATGACTTTAATCCAGGCTTAATGACAGATAATACCGACCCTATCCTGCTGTGTGTTTGCACGCTGATTAGCATTTTTCCTCCCTGGTCCTGGGAAGTAATCGAGGTTGACTCTGTGGTTTGTCTGAGTCACTGTGTTCGCACTGAGGTCTGAAATTCAGAAGTTTAAAACTCATCAAATTTGAACTTTGGAGTCCTACCTTGAAAAAACAAGTTCCAACTTGGAAGTCAGATACAGTCGACTGGAGGGGATTTCCAATAATATTCAGGTGTTTTCTCGTCCTATAGGAGGCCTGATGTGTGGAAGTATTATCATATTAACGTGGCCTTCGCTTTGGCTGCTGTGTCTCAGCTAATGAGTCCACATAATCTAGGCTGTGTGCTCACTGGAAAGATGGTTTTGATCTTGGTTATTTGGATGCTGCAGGCTACAGAGGGATTTAATGTGAGTTACAGTAAATAATTGAGACGCTGCGGGCTGAGCGGCAGATTTAGAGGTGTTTTTACTCCCCCAGTGAAGGCTATTGGACGCCTGCAGAAAGACTTGGTTATTTAAGCTGTGGAGGCTTAGGGGGATATTAGAGGTGTTTGATTAAATCTCTGAGCTCATGAAGTATCTTTCATGTGTTCAAAGATTAATCTGCTGGAGAAACTGCTGAGCGGGGGAAAGTCCAAACCAAAGATGTTTTTTTTTTTTCTCTATACAAAAAGGCAAAGACGTGTCTCCAGAATTAATCTGTCCAGAAAACTGTTAGTTTGTTAAAAATAAGATTTGGTGAAGGGAAGTGACTGTGAAACATCCAATCAGGACCAACCTTTTGTAAGTGCGGCTGGAACAACAACCGAAGAAGGTCAACCGG